GGATGTTTTCTTGGCACACTTTAGGCCCCTTAGTGCCAATTGGGCATCGTTTAAATGCCACGGCCTACCTGAGCATTGTTTCTGAAACAAAGCAAAACATTTTCTGTTATCAAGTCTCTCTACCACAATGTAATAATACACAGTGATTATGTGTCCATTATCCAACATAACAGTGAATCTGTTCCTTTTCATTACTCTAGTGAACTGCTCTGAATAATACAGTTCTCCTTTGACCGAAATTCTACTGAATATTTTCACAACTGTATCCGTGGTGACTGAAAGTGTCTCTTTCATAGCCAGTATCTCTTCATTAGTAAGTTTTCGTACAAATTGTAAACCAATGGTCACAACTTGATCTGCTACTCTTTCAAACTATCAGCTTTTTTTCCACCAGTCAAGTTGTTATACAGCTGTATACATCTAGGCACAGCATTTCTTAGTGCATTGTTTTTCAAAAGAGGTAACACTTGTCTATATGTGAAATGTTTCATAATTTGTAAGGGAACACACTGGGTGCCATGAAACATCTTCAGTATCTCCCCATTAAAAGACTCAAAAATATATCCTGAATGTGCCCACAAAGGTCCCCAATTTCTCACAGAGTCTGGCAAATGAAGACATAAATGTACGTTAAATGACACATTTTCCTTTCCATAGATTGTTTCAAACTGTTTGACAAACTCAACAACTAGTTTTTCACATCTTTTTAAGTCCTCTGATGTGACAGTGTCCTTACATAGCAAGAACATGAAGGTGACAAGGATTAACCAGTGCTGGTAAAATGCATGGGGTAATATTCCCTTTAGCCACAAACATGCTATAAAAAGTAACCAGTTTCTGCCACTCACTGGCTTTCCAAAACTTCCTTTGCTGAAAAGAGCGGGGCACTCTTGTGATATTGCAAGGTGGTTTAATTCTTAAGAGTTGTTGGTCGAGCTCAGGAACACGATTACCAATATAGTATGGCTCCTCATGGTGTTCACTATCCAGCCACATGCTTGTTATTTGCCTAACAACTCCAAGATGTACATTATGCATATGGTCAGGAGGCATTCCAGATATGATGTCAAAGTGTGGGATGTTGACAAGACATGTGGGCCCTTTAATGCCTCTCACAGATTGCGTGGTGCGCACAGCCTCCCTTGCATCAGTTAGGGTTGTAGCATGATCTCTTTTTGGAACATCTTTGTATGGATAAACCCTAACAGTTCCATTTCCCTTTGGAACTTGTTCACCAGGATGTAGGCAGAGGCTGCACCCATAATGACCATTTGTTACGTTCGGCGGACGGGCAAATGAGGGAGTAGGCGAGAGAGCCGTGATTTCAGGAATTCGGGGTTTATTCGAGACAGACAGGCCACGAATATGAAACAATACAATGACTGATCTGGGGAACACTGACTGAGACTTGGACTAAATACACAGAACAAAGGGAACAGGAAACAGGTGATGACAATCAGGGATGAACACGAGGTGGGCGTGGCACACACGAGGATCGGACGGAGCTGGGCATGACAGAACCCCCCCCCCTAAAGACGCGCACATCGGGCAAGCCCGAGGGGAGGCGACAGACGAGATGAGGGAACAGGACCTGAAAGACAAAAACCAAGACATCAATGGGGAACCGGAAATAGAACGGAAACACAAAACAGGCACAAAGGCAAAGGCCACGACAGGACCCGACAAAGGACTGGAAACACAGATACTGTAGACAGACTAGAAAGGGAGACACAGGGGGAACACCGAAAGGCGGAACAAAAGGGCCAGGAGTGAACGGAGGCACAACAGGAGGAGAAGGAGCAGGAACAGGAGGGACAAAGGGACGAGGAGCAGACCAGGGAGACCAGAAAGAAAGGGACGGAGGACAAAGGGGAGCCCGATGGAGCCCAGACGGGCAACGGGCGGCAGCCGGAGAGGGAGGCAGGAGCCACAGGAGTCATGGCCTCCGGTGAGGTAGCAGGCGGTGCAGCCGGAGCCGCAGGCGTGGCGGCAGGTGGTGCAGCCGGAGCCACGGGCGTAACGGGCTGGACAGGCGTGCCGGGCTGGACGGGCAGGTTGGGCAGGATGGGCTGGACAGGCTGGACGGGCAGGATGGGCAAGCCAGGCTGGACCGCGGGCAGAGCGGCTGCGTCAGGCAGGGCAGCGGGCAGAGTGGCTGCGTCAGGCAGGGCAGCGGGCAGAGCGGCTGCGTCAGGCAGGGCCACGGGCAAAGCAGCTGCAGCCAGCAGGGGGTGCCTCAGCGGGCACCTCGGGCGTCCAGTTAGCAGGGGGCGCCTCAGCGGGCACCTCGGGCGTGCAGCTAGCAGGGGGCGCCTCAGTGGGCGCCGCTGACACGTGGCCAGCAGGGGGCGCCTCAGCGGGCGCCGCCAACATGTGGCCAGCAGGGGGCGCCGCAGCGGGCACCTCGGACGGTGCTGCGGGCAGTGTGGCGGCAGCAGCAGGCGGTGCCGTCAGCAGGTCTGGAACAGGCAGGACTGGAACAGGCAGGACTGGAACAGGCAGGTCAGGAACTGCCCCTTTAAGGGCTTTAGGGATCCGGGGAATAGCGCTGATCCCCTTACCGACCAGACGCGCCGGCCGGTAGTGATAAGCCTCCAAGGGAGGCCTCTTCTCTCTACGGCTGATCCGGCGAGCAGCAGCGGTGTCCTCCCAGGTGAGCGGGGAGCTCCCTCGCCCACTGGCAGGGATGACAGCGGCTGGGACAGATAGATGGAGGCGGGGTTGCCTCTAAGAAGGAGATCAGTGACTGCCGCTTCTCCTTCCATTCGCGGACTAGCTGTAGCAGGAGAGCGCGCACTTCCGCCATCGCGTGCGCTTCGGTGCGTGGGGTTACCTCTTGCAGGAGGGTCCAGCTTTGCTCTGCCAGGGCGTATAAGCCGGGATCCTCTCGGATCTCTGGTTGCTCTCGCCATTAACTCACCTCGTGCAGCAGGACGAGCCTTAGGTCCTCGTCCTGCTGCGGTGAGTCTTTAGGGAGTTCTGTCATTCTGTTACATTCGGCGGATGGGCAAATGAGGGAGTAGGCCAGAGAGCCGTGATTTCAGGATTTCGGGGATTATTCGGGACAGACAGGCC